GGTCAGGAGAGGTCTGCCACACCATGTGGTCACCTCCAGGGCAGGCGGGGATAGAACTCATGCGGAAGAGGCTTTAGATTCTCAGTGCTGTGCTTTTAACCCGCTGCACCACCAGGGAGGGCCAGAACACCGTAATTTTTAATAAAATGATTGAAATATAAAAAGTTAAAATTATCAAAAATCAAAGATAAAGAAAAAATTGTTTAAATATGTATATGTATAACATCATTGTTAATTTTTGTACTTAGTTTAAGAATAAGCTAATTTAAGTTTAAAAAAATGAGATACTACCTAACCACTGTGAGAATGGCCCATATAAAAAAGAATGGATTAAACAATTGTTAGTGAATTTATGGTGAAAAGGAATTCTCATTCATCTTTGATGTAAAAGCAAGTTGAAGCAGTCTCTTTGGGAAAGGTATGAGGATTTCTCAAGAAAATAAAAATGGAAATTCCAAATGATCACGTAATACCTCTATTAGGTATTTATTCTAAAAGTATGAAGTCTCTATTACAAAAATATTTGTGCATGTCTATGTACATAGCAAGTGTCCAAATTGCCAACTCATCAACCAACCTAAGTGCCCTTTTTTTCTTTTTTACTTTATTTGTTCATACAGAACTGGGGTACAGGCCAGAGGCTCAGGGGTGGCGAGAGGCCTTACCAGAGACAGAGTGAGGATCAGAACAGGCAGATTTAACGAGGTACACTGCTGAGGGGAGCTGCAGGCGGGTCAGGAGAGGTCTGCCGCACCATGCGGTTACCTCCCGGGCAGGCGGGAATCGAACTCATGCGGAAGTAGCTTTAGCTTCTCAGTGCTGTGCTTTAACCTGCTGCGCCACCAGGGAGGGACCTAAGTGCCCTTTAACAGGTGAATTGAGAAAGAAATTATGGGATATGGTTTCAGTAGACTACTACACAGCATTGAAAAATTATGAAATAGGTGCTTTTGGGGCAAAATGGATGAACTTCAAGGTGATCATGTAATAAGTCAGAAAGTGAAAGAGTGATAACAGATGGTCACACTCCTCTGTGGAATATAAATAACAACAAAAACAAAACACAAAAACAGGTAAAATACAATAGGATTAAATCTTGAAGACAGTGAAAGAATGGTTACCAGAAGGAAGAGGGGCGGGAGGAGGGTTGGGTAAGGAACTAGATGGGGTATTGCCATGTTTGGTTTGGTAAAAGGTGAATGGAACATTTGTACATGTAGAAAAGTAAAACTGTCACCCCCAAATTAAAATTAAAAAAAGGTAAATACAAGCAGATGTGTATATATATATTTACTTATATACATTTATATATAGTCTACATATATATAGCAAGTGTGCATACACATTTATTACATATTACATATATTTTTAAATAAAAGAATAAGCCAAAATTTATAAAAAAAATGTCTGGAAAACATTTCATCATAGGAAGGGAGTAAATAAGTAATAACAGTACCTGGTTAGCTTTGGAAACATAAACTATTTCATATAAATAAAAGAACGTCAAAGATCATTTTAAAAAAACCACAGTGAGGCCCTTCCTGGTGGTGCAGCGGGTTAAAGCACAGCACTAAGAAGCCAAAGCCACTTCAGCATGAGTTCGATCCTGTCCCCCTCCCCAGGTGATCCACATCCACATGGCTGGAAGACCTTTTCTAACCCACCCCCTGCTCCCCTCACCAGTGTACTTTGTCGATTTGCCTGTTCTGCTCCCCACTCTGTCTCTGGTGAATCCTCTCCCCGCACCTGCACCTCTGACCTGTACCCCAGTTCTTTATGCATAAATAGATAAATCTTGAAAAAAAAGCACAATGAACCAAAAGTGAAGTGAAATAAATGAATGAACCTGTATCACATGATGTGGAGGAATAGAGAAGTACTTGTGTACTTGAAAACATTATCACTTGTAAGACAAAATAATTTGACTGTACATCTTATTAGATTAATTTTTTTTTTGAAATCATACAGTTTTATGTAGTGTTGTGGTACTGACTGCATACAGTTGTTTTTCTGATACTAATTTAACCATATTATGGGGTAAAGCAGAGTAAAAAGTTATGAGGTTGTCCTTGAGAATCAGGATCTTTGGTGTGGGAGAAAGAAGATAGAGCTGTAAAATCAGTGAGGTTTAATAAACAGCCCAATCCTACTTTTTTTTCTTTTCGGTGATAATTTTATTTTTTTCTCTTGAATTCTATATTTTTAAAATTTACTTTAATTAATTTATGTTCTACATCCTTCTCCATTTTGTGCATTTTTTTTCATCTCATTGTAATCCCCATGGACTTCCTACCACCAATCCACCTGTTTGCAATTCACCAAGGTCCTGTGCACTCTTCCAACACCAGTTTTGATCCCATTCCCCTCTCCACCCCAGTAAAATGTCTCTGGTTTATAGTTGTTCCTTGTTTTTAATTTTTATTTTATTACAATTGCCTTATCCCTCCCCCTACACTCCTGCTATGAGTGAAACCATCCAGTATTTTTCTTTTTCTTTCTGGCTTATTTCACTAAGCATAATCCCTTCTAGCTCCATCCATGTTGCTGCAAAAGGCATGAGTTTATCTTTTGTGGTTGTTGAGTAATATTCCATTGTGTATATGTACCCTGTCTTCTTAATCCAGCCATCTATTTTTGGGCACTTGGGTTGATTCCACATCTTCCCTACTGTAAATAGAATACCAATAAACACAGGCATGCAAGTGTCCTTTTAAATCAATGTTTTTGTGTCCTTTGGGTAGATACCTAGGAGTGGGATTCCTGGGTCATATGGAAGCTGCATTTTTAGTAATTTGAGAAAACTCCATACAGCTTTCCATAGTGGTTATACCAATTTGCATTCCCAGGTTTGTTTTTTTCTTGAGACAGTGGTCAATCCAGTTTTTCTGACTACCCTAAGGACTCAAATTATGGTCTCTAAACTTTAAATTAGACCAGGGATCCTGGAGAAATTCTCACTTGGGGCAGGAAATGTAAAAGATGGGTCGGAGTAACTTGTTATAAAAGAAGCAAATGCATTATTAATAACACTCAAAAGAACTTTGAAGGTAACCTAAGAGGCTTCCCTTGCTCAAAGATGGGTCAGTTTGAACATCAGTCATATTAACTGCAGTGTATTGAGAGAAATTAAAATAATTGAATCCATTAGTTTATGGCACCTATCTCAATGAGGGCATAAAGTGTATTTCTCTCTCTTCCCCACACCCACACCAACATCCACACCTGACACTCCCCCCCCCCCACACACACACACTCAAAAGCCTCAGTAAGCACTTTCAGCAAATACTCTGGAGCCAAATTATTATTCTAGGAATGTAAAATCAGATACAAAAAAAGCTGAAAGTTTGAATAAAGCATTTATCTGGGCTTTACTATGCCAATTATATCACAAGATAACAAAAATTAATGGACAGTTGGTCTTCTTAAAAATATTCCCAGCCCTCTCAGGTGGCACAATGGGTTAGGACGCAGCACTGCAAGCTAGCTGCAGCCACTTGAGTGTGAGTTCGATCCTCGGCTGGGGAGGTGATACACATGACATAGCAGACCTCTCCTGTCTTGCCCGCAGCTTCCCTCAGCAGTGTACCTAGTTGATCTGCCTTGTCTGCTCCCTACTCTGTCTCTGGTGAATCCTCACTCACTGCCCTAGCACCTCTGGTCTGTACCCCAGGTCTGTATGCATAAATAAGTAAATCTTTTTTAAAAAAAAGTATTCCTGTTAATAAGTAATAAGATTTTTAAAAAGTTATCATTTCTTCATCCCTGATCAGTGAATGGATGTAGGTTGACTATCATTAATAGTATCATTCTTTAATATTATTACTATTCATTTATTATTAATAATATTAGGAAGTGATAAAGAAGTACACCACCACAAATGAAGTGGTCTTGCCAAGAAAATCAAATCTACACTTGATTCAGGTGCTCTCACCAAGACAAATAACTTTTTTTAAAAAGATTGATTTATGCTTATAGAACTAGAATACAGGTCAGAGGTGTGAGAAGATTTACCAGATACAGAGTGGAGAGCAGAACAGGTAGACTGACAAAGTACACTGCTGAGGGGAGCAGTGGGCCGGTCAGAAGAGGTCTGCCACACCATGTGGGTCAGCTCCCTGGCCAGGGATCGAACTCATGCTTCCATGGCTTTGGAGAGTTTTATAATGCGGCGCTTTAACCCGTTGAGCCACCAAGGAGAGCCTGACATATGACTTTTTTTATAGTTCTCTGAGTCATATCCACAGGGACCTTCTGGGGTAACCCAGAAACAAACTTGCTACGCACACCCCCTTTTATTTCTAATCAGGGTGTTGAATCCCCAGTATCCTTTCCTGAAATGTTCCTGTGTTCTATTGATTGAATCTAAGGATTTAAATTTTCTTCTTTTGTTTTCTACTAAAATTCCTTTATAAACACCATCCAGACCCCATCTACTTGCACCAAAAATTCATACATTGAACATTCTCTCCAACAGTGTTCTGAACATACTGGTGTTTTCTTTGTACTTCAAATTCAGTCACTCAACCCTGCTGTTCCCCCCCCCCCCTTAGAATGCAGAATCCCCAGATTGCTTCATGGCGGGATGTTTTTTATGATGAGCCTTTGCTGAAACATTGCCTCTGAAAGATGTTCCCTTCTTGACCACGAAGAGTCACTCTCATCACTTCACATTTTCTTCGTTAACCTTGTCAGCTCACAAGATAGTCTTCCTGACATGGAAGCAGCCCAAATGCCCAAAAGTAGATGACTGGATTAAAAAGATGTGGTACATATATACAAGTGAATATTACACAGCAACCAAAAAAGATAAACATGTGCCTTTTGCAGCAACATGGATGGAGCTGGAAAAGATCATGCTTAGTGAAATAAGCCAAAAAGAAAAGGAAAAATACCACATGGTTTTACTCATAGCAGGAGTATAAAGGACCAGGGGAGAAAATAATAATAATAATGAACAACTATAAACCAGAGACATTTTATAGGGGTGGAGTGGGGAATGGGATCAAAAACAGTGGGGGGAGGGAAATGCATCGGACTTTGGTGATGGCACATGGGTGATTTGGTGATGGGAAGCCCAGGGGGATTACACCTGAGATGGAAAATGGCACAAAATGATGGAAAAATAAACTATATATATATATATATATGTATGTATGTATGTATGTATGTATGTATATAAGATTGTCTTCCTGCCTCTAGCACAAAAGTTACATTGAGAAAGGGCCTCCAGCACATACTACTCCTTAGCTAGAGCACTCACACATGCACATAGTTCAGAATGGGCGCACCTTTATGTATTTGTTCACTGAACGCTGAATACTCGAATACTCTAACTGATATGCTGCTGACAACAGGTGTTTAGTAAGTTAATGAAATGGTACCAACAGATTTTTCAAATTCTACCCCAAAATAACACTAAGCATAGTCTCTATTTTAAACTTCACTCTTTGATTGATACTCATAATGAGCCCAACTCACATTAGATTCTTGTTATGGAGGGTGGAACAAAAATAGAAACAGAGGTGGAACTAGGCTACCCTCAGCCCACTCCTGTGGTCAGTCTGACCACCATAGTCAGTTATGCATGGGTTAACCCATGTTTTTTCTAATGGGGTGCAATATTAAGTGTCTTAGCCCAAAATATTAAACTTGAGCTATGAACTCTCTAGAGATATCTTGCACTCTATCTCCTCTGTTATATAAAGTCACATAGTAAACGCGATGAAGTTATCACACTTCCTGAAGAGGAGTCATTCTGCGGGTCTAGTGCTGACTCTTCAATACTTCAGTGACTTGAAAAAATATTGCTCTGTAAGGATACAACAGATGAAGTCCATGGCCCTGTAATGAATTCTACTTTGCTTTATAAAGGATAATTTTGGTTGATTGACTAATAGATAAAAGGAAAATGTTGCTCCAGAGAGGTAGAGCTCAAATCAAGTTACAAAAAAAAGTGTGCACTTGCCCCTCCCTGGTGGCGCAGCAGGTTAAAGCACAGCATTAAGAAGCTTAAGCCGGTCCCTCCCTGGTGGCGCAGCGGGGTAAAGCACAACACTGAGAATCTAAAGCCACTTCCGCATGAGTTTGATTCCCACCTGCCCCGGAGGTGACCACATGGCGCGGCAGACCTCTCCTGACCCACCCGCTGCTCCCCTCAGCAGTGTACTTCGTCAATCTGCCTGTTCTGTTCCCCACTCTGTCTCTGGTGAAGCCTCTCACCTCCCCTGAACCTCTGGTCTTACCCCAGTTCTGTATGCACAAATAAATAAATCTTTAAAAAAAAAAAAGTATGCACTCTAAGGTTCTACTTCAGTGAAAACACACGTACACACATACACACATGCCACATGTATTAGATAGTAGTTTCTTGGTGCTAGGACTATGGGGTTACCTTTAATTTCCCACTATGCACACATTTTGATATTGTAATAACAACAAAAAAGCATTCTCAATTCAAATGATGGTAATATTGAAATGTTATGACTTTCATGTTCAAATGAAAAAAATATATATTTTTTTAACCAGGTAACTTGGGCAGATTTCTACTGGGAAATTTGCAGTACCACACTTTTGGTCTTTAAACCTGACTTGTTGGACATGCATCCAAGGCTGGTGATGTTACGGAAGAGAGTTCAAGCCATCCCAGCAATTGCTGACTGGATACAACGAAGGCCCCAAACCAAACTCTAAGTGATACCTGCTCCCTCCTAAATTTTGTGGTTCTTCAAGCCTCCTCCCATTAGAGAAGACAGCTATACCAGCCTTCCACATAACTCACACTTCCCTCCCAGTTCCATCACGAGTTTCACCTTTGCCATATTCTGTTTGAAAAAATAAATAGAAAAATAGCATGTAGTTTCCAGTATCTTTTTCTTTTTTCCAGAATAGTTTCACATCACCTACAAATGAGGAAAAACAGTTTACATGAAGGCCTCACTTTGCACCTGTTCCAACATGTGTGAATATCAGTCACAATGGTTTACCTAAATAACACATATCCCACACAAAAAGTTATGGTTTGGACTTCAGTTGTCTTGTTATATTTACTATGATTGATTGTCTAAAGTACAAAGTTTCCTGCTATGTAGACAAAAGATAAATATGTTATCCATACAAAGACAGTAAGTGAGTTGTTGGGTGACATACTTGTTTCTCAGGGATGAAATCACTTGAGATTTTTTAAAGATAATTGAAAAAGGGAACTCACCAGCAATGATGTAGATGCATCTAGGGGTAACACTAGAGTAAAGTTCAAACTGAACCGAAGTGGAAAGTATTGA